CTTTGCCAGAAAAGTCATTTTGTTATGCTATATAGAGTTTTGTTGGAAAAGGTACTACTGCTATAATTTGGCCAGTGAATACTATCTGACAAATGCTAGTTTGCCTCCCTCACACAGATCCTTTTACTTTAAAAAGTTATATCAATGTTATAAACTTTTATAAACAATTCAGAGAGCATCATTATGCAATCTTCTTATGGGCTTGCTCAAACTGATTTGAAGGAATAGTTGTTTTATCTTTTTTTTAAATACTCACAAAAACCAACCAGAACATTTTTACCTCCATCTCAACCAATATAACATTGGCATATGGCATATTTTTTTCTTGTAAAGCAAGCAATATTTTTAAAATGCTTTGCCCCTCACTACAAAGTTACTTTGTATATAAAGCAATGTTTGCTTTTTACTGAATGCCAGGCAAACACAAAGTTTTGATTTCTAATATCACTGAGAGAATCTCAAAACTCAACAAGCAGTTGGACCATTTTACAGGCCTACAAGATCTGAGATTAGAGAGATGCTAGAATTGGATACATTTACTTTATTTTGATTTTTGGTCCTTGCTTCTTTATGGATATTAAAAATATTCCATCTATAAATATTTCAAATAGTTATTAAATAGACAATTACAGAGTTAACAGAGATACAGACAGCAGGAGAAAAATATACAATCCTATATAGATTTAGGTAGACATACGATAATAAGAGCATATTAACCTTTAGTTATGGCTATTGCTGAAGCTTTCCAAATGCCAATCTTTAATAAAAATGCTAAAATCATGGAACATTCAAGTAATATATAAGTAAAATTAAATATAATAAAAAACTTTAAAATTAAAATGTAAAATTTCTTTTTCATTTCCCCAAACCATTATTACTCAGCTATTTATACTTTGCTTTAAACCTTTATAGCTATTGCTTGAATTTAGCATAAGGCCAATCAGATAGTTCATTGCCCTTTTTCTTTAGCTCTGCCCAAGTCTAAAATATCTGTAACTAAAATTCCTATCCCATTGTCTCCAGCCAATGTAGAAGACGCTAACTCATTGCAGTAGATCAATGCCAACAGATTTGTCAGCAAAAAGGTTTCCAAACAAATAAAATACAAAATAAGTGAAATGATGGGGGAAAGATAGCTCCAGTTTTACTGTGACTGAAGGCACATTGGCGTAATTCCATTGGGTGTTTCGAATCATGTTTTAGACCACTTTGTGCTACAACAGATTAACCAACTCACTCAGGAAGTAATAGAATATCAATCAACTCTCAATTCTGCATGTAGCTACCTGTGAAAGTAGATGACTTAACCCTCCTTCACAAGCACACATTCAAAGGATAATGCAAACCGTATTTGCCCTTATCTCTCTACTAGTAAGAACGCATTCAAGAACCCATGAATATACCACATATTCTAAGGAACCATTAAAAACACAAACTTCAACATGTTCTAAAATTGGTTTTTAATAGAACAGAACTACCCCGGAAAATAGTGGTTTCACAACTTATTCTGGAAAAAAATAAACAGCCTTCAGAATTATTTCAATGAGAGATGGGGCAGGAGAAAGAGGAATAGATAAATCCATACAGAAAGTTTTAGAAACAAATTACAGTACTGAAATCAAGAGGCAAGTTAGCCATGGCTTATTTCAATACTAAACCTCCTTTCCTCTGGTCATTGCCCTTCTTGACCTTTTAGCTTAAGTTTCATGGGAGCCTGAATGCGTGAATAGAAAGAGGCATTAATCCCCAACCAGAGCTTTCCGGAACACTTGTTAATTTTAACTAAGGTTCTTCTAAAGCAGGGATCCCCAAATTCTTCAGTTCATCAACACTTTCGTGAAGTTTTAGATGGCTTATTGACACTTTAGATGATTTATTTTAGATGGCTTATTGACACACTTTAGATGACAAATAACACTACTACTCTAATAATACTATAAATGACAATGACAACAATAAGAGATAGTCCCATCGACCCTTTCAAAAGAGTGCTGGAATCACTGACTGAAGATTGCCTTAAAACAAGAAGACAGATATGGATATTTCTTTCCCACTGGCTGCTGTACAGATCTTGTACTGCTTCTGTATCAAGTGATTTTCACACAGCTGTATTTCCCCCACAACTGCAATTTCTGAGGACTTCCGGAAAACACTGAAACTGCCAGGATGAGTATCGTGCAGTTGCATTTCCTGAGGCTGTCCAGTGGAAGGGGCAGGGGGGGGGGGGGGGAGACTTTGCAAACTCCATTCTGACTTCTATGAATTGCATCCACTGTCTACTCAGATGCTGCTAGTCAGGTCAGAATTAGGCTCCTTGGTCACTCATTATTAGCACTACTTCTTTGAATCACAGAGCATGTTTATTATCAACTGTTTCCTCCCTTCTTCTTCACCCTGCATGGACCCACAAGTTCTGCCACCTGTCAGCACACTTGATAGGTAAGCATGCCATTCTAAGCATGTGAATAAACTAGCACCTCAAGGATGTATCTAAACTCCAGCCTTCAGGAGAATGATTTGTGGTTGCTTTTAGCTCAGGCAGGGAATGCTTAGTGGGAAAAAGAAAGGAATCCAGGGATATCTATCAACCCCTTTTCCTAAGTTAGCTCCATAAATAAAGAAAACGCAGGTTTTGGGCTTCCTGCAGCAGGAAAATATAGTAGCAATGAGAGCAGCACAATAAATGCCAATTTTAACAAGCATAAGGGTCGGTGCAGGCGCTTTAACCAAAATAGATGTGTTGCATTTCTCTTTCCAAAGGGTTATCCCAACAGTTTAGGAAGGCGGAGGTGTAAAGCTGTAGGAGTTGTAGCCACTGTTTAGCAGAAGGGAGAAAGCCAAGAATCATGCCTGATGGCTAACAAAGAAGCTAACCTTTTGTCTCTGCTGGCACCTCAGAAACCTTATCACCGAAACCCCGCCACTGGTACAGCCCTTTTCCTGTTTGTGCAAACCTCGCAAAAGCCGGCAAGGATTTGCAGACGACGCTCACTAAAGAGGAAACGCGACCGCGGCTCCTTCTATTTTATTTGCTCGGGAAGCGAAGCACAAAGCAACGGATCAGACGGATGTTACCAAATTACTCCTCTCTCCGTTTGGGATCTATCGGGGCGACCGTACCCCGCGAGGCGAGAAAACTGGAGGAGAAACGAGGATCATTGCCAGGCTAGAGGGGCGAGACGCCCCCCTCCCCTTCTCGCCATGCTCCCACTTTTCCTGCAGCTTGAAGATTTTGCGAATGGGTTGAGATCCGCAGCTTCGCCGGGGAAGGTGGAAACATTTCCAAAGAAAAGACGGCCAGGGAACGAGACTGTATAAGGAGTGACAAGGAAGGAGGCGAGCAGTTCTGGCTGCCACGCATCATCACAGTCTCCCGCCTTTCTATTCGAAACGCTGCAGCCTCCGCAGACACCCACGGGTTTCTCGAGAGGCTAGGCAGGCAGACACGTATGAAAGATGTAGGTGCCGGTGAAGGAAGCTGGAATCGGGGCGGAGGCAAGCCAGGGAAGAAAACACACACACACACCTCCAGTGCCGGCAGTATCTCCTCTCTTTGCTGTGCGGGAAGGAGCGGGGAGCAAGACTAGTTTCCCTACCTAAACGGCACCGCTGTTCTGCTGTTGTACTGTACGAGAACCACGTTGGATTTCCCAGGCACCGCCGGCTCCCACCCCCTCGGGCACGCCTTCCCACCAGCCAACAGACATGCCTACACCAAACCAGCCAGCTTCAGGATTAAGTTAGTGCTCTGCCCGCCAATGGCAGCGTAAAAAAATAAAATAAAAACCAAGCACCCATCCTCCTTGAATCCTCCAAAAAACATAAGTCGCCGCAGCTGACCCCGCCAGGTTTCTCCCGTTGAGAAGCTCCTCAGGGTTAAATGCAACCCTGTGCCGTAAAATTGGAAGAGGCTCCTTCCCTCCCCTTTTAAGTGCGCGCTGCAAACTGCAGTCTCGGCACAGCTACGTCGCACTAGACGGGCTAAAGTTTTGTTTTGCTCTATAACGCAGTCGAGACGCGTGCAAATATGAATCATTTCATTGCCGTCGTCTCAAACGAAAAAGAGCAGCAGCAGACGGCTTTGAACGTTTTGTTGCCACGAAGGAGCAGCAAGAAAGAAATAGGAGGACGCGCCCCTCTAAAAAGACGACCCGCGTCTCTAACCCACTCCTAGAAAACTTAAGCCTTCGGGAGCCCGCTTGAGTCTTAAGCACCGTTTCATCAGTAGCTGAGCGCAATCGGACTTGCTTCGGCGCTAATCCCGTTTCAATGATCTAGAGATGGGGTGTAACCCAGTAGAAGCGGAAAGGAAAGGGACATCGGGATTTGAAATAAAGTCATCATAGATGAGTCCTAACACATATGAGCACTAATTTCCCACTAATTTCCCGTCTAGGACCAGGGCGTTCCTAATCCGCAGCCATACGGGATAAAATACAGGTGAACTCCTGGAAGAGAGGAAGGAGTGCCACTCCCCCCTCCCCCCCAAAATCAGCACTGTAACAGAAGAGAGCCGCTTCCCGCATCTCGAGCTATTCTCGCTTACTTCGGAACCCCTCGGCGCTTCCAAATCTCTAACGCGTCCCTTGCTTTATTCCTCTTAGCAACTGGCCAGCCGTCGAACAACTCATTCGGGCGATCACCTTTCTTTCCCTTTCAACTTCTTTCCAAAACTCGGCCGTCATTTTCGCTTGAGGGGGGGTGGAGTGATCACCTCTCTCCTGAAGCCGGCCCTAACGCTTAGCTTTATGCGAGGGCGAAATCGCAGGCTGCAGCAGATCAAAAGGAAGTGGGCAGTGGGGTGGGTGTGTTTGTGTAGAGAGAGGTCTTCACAACATCCCCCCAAAGATATACATCTACTACAATACAAGTTAGGGAGGGGGCTGAGAGGAGCAAACGCCACCGACTCTTTGCACCTTAACGGGCTGTGGAGGCGCACCCCGGCTCTCCTCCTCCTCCCTTTTGTCAAATACGTGGGAAAGCAAACGCTTTGCATTTACCCGCTGGGTTGCGCCTCCGGGTGCCCCTCGGTTCTTGCAATCTCCTTTGTCTTGTAAAAGATCAGGAGGATACTTATCGTGCAGATAGTCCACCTCTTCCTGATGGAACGCATGTCTCCCGCAAATCGGAATTCCTCCCGTTTCCTTTGTTTGGCAGGATGCGAGAGAAAGGGGAGCAAAGGAGAATAAAACAAAGCAGCATTCAGCCAAAGGGGTTTTCTTTTTCTTTTGAAAAAGCAAAGCGGGGAAACAAAAAACCAGCCGACTTGATGTTGTGGGAGGCGAGGCTGCCGTTGCTTTCCCTCCCTCGCGGACCAAGTCCTGCCCGAAGTCCACGCGCTTCCGAGCTCGTCCGGCAATCGCTCCTCTCCAAGCTCCTCTCACGCCGCCTTCCCGTTTAGGTAGCAGCAGAGGCGGCAGCCGCCAGTCTCCGGGGCGTCACGTAGCCCCGCCCTTTCCCTGGCGGGGAAATGATGAGCAAACCTCGGCCAATAAGTGGCCAGAGGAGGCGGGGAATGCCGCTACCCTAAACTTTAAAATGCGCCTCTCGGAGAAGAGAAGCGAAGCTTGGTTGGGGTGATATTCGGTGTTTTGTGAGGAGAAAGCGGCGAACGGAGGTGGCGTGACACGGTTTTTTTTTTCTCCCTTAGGTTGCGAGGCACCTCAGTGTTGCTTTGGGCGCACTTAGGCAGAAGTAGGTCCCCGGGAATTCACTGACTCTCATTCTAGAGAGCCGTGAGTAGGGATCTTTTTTATTTTTAATGCGCTCGGTAAGATGGTGCGTCTCACCTTAACTCCGCATTGCTTCAAAGAAGGATGTGACTGAAGGACGACCGTGTTTTTTGTTGCGAGATGATTTGCATTTGTTTATTGCAAAAGTGGCGGTAAAACAAGAGAGTCTTTAACTTCTGAATGTTCTTGCCCGGGGTTAACCTAAGATAATGATTCCTTGACTCAACAATTACACAGTGATGAGTTGTTCCTTTTTTTTTTCCCCTGGAGGCTTTTGACTCTTTAGACTAATCCCAAATCCCAAGATTTCCTATTGTTTCCTATTCAAGTATCAGCCGGATCTGGCTTTTTTTTAAATTTTGGGCTTATCATCCCAGCACTGAGGGTTGTCCTTCAAATCCACCATTAGGTTCTGTGAAGGTATGGAGGAATGATCTTGGGGGGACAGGGCAAAGAGGCCCAACAAATACGAGGAATAAAAAGCAGTTTAATCTGAAGCAACAATGTGGATGGGACAGAGACTCCCTAGAACTAGCTATAAAGAGATGGGAGAATTGTACTTTCACACTTGCGAGATTCTCCAGGAGTTCGCTTACAATAAAGTACAGTATAATTAGCCTATCTGGCCATGTCTCTTGTCTTGACTACCTTGTAAAACTGTTGGGTTTATACCACATTCTAAACCTGGATTAACCAAGCAAAATTGCTGTGCTACAGAACTGATTATGCCAAAGAAGTGAAGCATATTATGTGATTGCCTTATTCATACAACATCCACACTACATAAGGTGGTGGGTGGAATATGAAAGCTTGCTGAACTACAAACTAGTTGGGTTAGCCTAGATTAGCAGGCTGTGTGACCATGATTTTCATCCTCCCTGTCCCCTTGAATTGGAGGATCCCTGGCAAACTTGAGAGGGGGATCTCTTTTAATACTATAGAAATTAAGAATTGTAGAGTGGGTGAGAGAACAGAATACACAATGGTAGGAAGGTATTGGGCTTGGGGAACATTAGAGAATTTACTTTGTTTTAAACTGTGATGTACATATTTTAACCAGAGGATTTCATTTTTTGATTTAAAACCTCAGCATGAGAAACTTATCCAGTTTTAATGGTTAAGGTAGATTAGCTATATAAAGAGAATTTCAGGGTCAGACCCAGCCCTAAAGTCTAGGTTCGTGATGGCAAACCCATGGCATGTGGCATGCACGTGGCACACAGAGCCACTTCTGCCGGCACGCCAGAGCTTGCCCGGAAGAGCTCCACGCACATGGCCCACCTGACAGCTAATTGTCGGGTATCTGATGCACATGCGCGGGGGTGTGTGGGGATCACGCACACATGTGCCTCTGCATCTCTATGTGCACTGCATGGGGGTCTCGTGCAGAGATGCGTGGCATGCGGGGGGTGCGCACACATGTGCAGGGGTTGGGGGGCCTCCCCACTCATTGCCTTCTGGAGGCTGGCACGTGAGCGTGCATGCAATTTTCAGCACAGGAGCCCAAAAAGGTTAGTCAACACTGGTCTAGGTAGCCCCATCCTGGTTCATAGAAAAATGTTTTTGCTCTGGAATTATAGACATACAACTATATTAACTATGCCAGTTGGATAACAATACCTTTATGGATTTGAATGCAGAAATGAACAGCTTTCCTAAAGCAATCTTGTCTGAATTGTACAATCCTTTGAAATGCTAATACAATGTGAGATAGGGCATAAATACTCAGTGGTGTGGGATTCTACATATAAAGTAGCCAATCCTAGCTACATTCTATAAATATTCTTCTATAAAATATGAGTTTTTATTCCAGTAAAATACCTGTGCATATTTGTTACAGATTAGGGATTAGTGAATGTAATGACCAAGCAATGTGGGTTTCCCAATGCCAGAATAAATACAGAAGCAATATTATGTGCTGTTCTAGCATATGAATATATTTTCCTTAGAATAATACAGTATATAAGCATGGCAGTGTGTCTCTTGATCAAGTGATTGTGTCTCACCATTTTACCTCTGTAAAATGGGTTTTAAAGCAGGATCTGAAAAAGGTAGGGTTTTTTGGTAGCCTACCTCTCCCAAATTTGAAAACTTAACCTCTCCCAAATTTGAAAACTCATGAGTTTAGAACTTGCTTGTTTGTGCCATACCATATGCTATCTCAAAGTAATATGGAACTCAAACAATATTTGACTAATACTTGACTTTTAAGGATCTTTGCAATGCATTCACCAATCTCTCAGGAGCACTTTGAAAGTAATATACACTAGTCTTCTGGTATTCATTTCTGTTCAGTATGCTGAAAACAAGGGCAAATCACTGTTGATCACTGTTCCACCTCAAGTGCCATACTACTTCTAGTGGCAAATACCTTCTTTATACTCTCATTCCACATAAAATGGAAATAAATTACATGAAATTCTCCCTATTCAGAGATCATTTTGTATTTTGGAGGGAATGCATGATTTTCAGTACAAGGTTTGTGTTCTGAGTTTTTCAATCCGTGGTTGAGTTTCTAGGTTTCTTTATTTTAAAATTTAATGAAATCTAGATGTTTCTATTCATTGCATTATGTTGTATATATTAAATAGGTAAACATAATTAGGTTGAGACTGATTTATTGTGTGTTATGTGGACATTTTTTTCTGAAGAATCTGGGTTTATTTGAGCAAAAAAATCTAAAAGAAACCCATAGGTAATCCTGCTGAAGGCCAGATCCTGAGTAGGTTGATGAGATAAAAAGAGTACTGCTGAAGGTCAGATCCTGGTAGGTTGATGAGATAAAAATAACTGTTATATCATTTGTTGATCAGAAATTATATACAGCCATATGTTTGCAGAGAAAAAACTAGTGTTACTCTACTATCAAATATATAGCAGCCAAGCCAGAAGCAAATCTAGCCTCTTGAGAATAGATGCCATCATAGAATTGAAAAGGTTTAGATCAGTTTTCAAATTTTCAATTGAAAGAGTTGTTATATGGAAATAATCAAGATATTACAATTATTAGATATTACTACTATTGCAGTAGAAGCTTTTGAATCCTTCAAAACTTTTCATCAGAAAGATGTTACAAAAACAGGAGGTAGAAAACAAACTAGAAAGATCATTTTTTAAATATCTTGACATTTACAACCCCTTTTGTATCATTTTGATTTGGCTCTAATATATTACACAACTCTGAATTTTGGATTTTTTTCCCCTTAAGGTACTATAACTTTTAAAATCATATATGTCATTTAAAAGTTCTAGGGCATGTGATGGGAGAACCAAAAATAGGGTCTTCAAACAAGACCTTATATTTGATATTAGGAAAGCTAAATATTAAATCATAAACTAAATCAGTTATTCAAATGAGTTACTTCTATGAATGAATGTTAAATAGTTCAATTAAAGGAATGAAGATACCAATTGAAAGAAATCCTGTTTCATAGCTTTTAAAGATGACACATTCTGTATTATGGAATACGGCTTTGAAAGAGCAAAATGTAAATGCAGAAATAATTGTACATTAAGCTATTCAAATTACCCTGGACAAATTAGTATGCATTTTTAAAGAAAACTGTAATATATGTATTGGAACAGCAGAGTCATACAGAAGCTTTAATATTTGTGCTATGATATGAATACTCTTGTTAGATACGAATTGAGCCACAACACTGGACTAAGGTTACAGGCCTAAATTAGAATTGAGGATCCAATTTCTCATTTGCTCACAAAACTTACAAACAATACTATACATGTGTACCAAAAGTATATCTAAATTCAAGGAATTACTTCAAGTCAGTGGATCTGAACCTGCAGCCTGCATAATTTTAAAACAGTTATTTACCTCCTGACTGTCCTATATTACCGTAACTTGGAGCACTGTAGATAAAATAAATTGGAGAGGGCAAACCACATATATCTTTACAAGCAGAATGGGATTTTAAAAAGTAACAGTTGAAGTTACTGGAACAATGACTGTTGACTTTCTTTTCTTTTTTGTGATAAGTACCTTCTAGAACACAGGTGTCAAACTCAAATCGTGTCACATGACATATCATGACCATTTTTTGCCTTTGCGGAGGTGGCCGCATGACACATCCAGCCCAGGAACTTCTAGTTTGACACTCCTGTTCTACAAAAAGCTTTTCATGGTTCTCCAGTGTTCTGAAAGCAAGTGGGCTGAAGACCAAAGGCATGCATTTGGGGATGACTTCTATTTTAGAGAGTAGTCTCCTTGATGCTAGGTTGGCACTTGCCTTTGGCCATTATGGAAATTGGTGAAAACAGAGCTTTTCCAGGAAGCTTTAATAGGCACTTCCTGTTTTTTTATTGGTCAAGTTCATGTGATTCATTGTATTTTTATAAATTATGTTGTTCTGTGCTCAAATTCTTATGATCTTAGTCACAGGAGCCCATTGTAATTGCAGTGAAATTTCAGTCTTGCAAGATTTTGTTAATGCGTAGTCTTGCAATAAATCTGATCTGTTTCCTATCTGT